TTTTTGTGGATATTATAGTAATTTGATAGTTGGATTCATTTGTGTCAATTGAAGCTAGACTATCATGGAAAACCTAGAAGCAGTTAACGGCCGTTTCATTTTAGTATGGGACTCCTAAGCAGTGTACATTCACGATGCAAAATTTGAGTCCAGGATCTATCAGTTGGATTAAGTTTAATGATGTTGAGTGAAACGGATATTTTTAAAAGTTTTTCCATATTACATATTTGTTTCAATATATAGATTAACATTAACCTGTAGTGGTTGGCCCTAACTTGAGCCGACATCAGAATATATTCAATATAATTTAACATTAAGATTTGATCAAGAAACAACTGAATGTTATAGTAATTAATGATAAACTTAAGTTTATATTGACATAATCCATCATAATTTGATCTGTAATTTCAATTATAAGATTAGCTTCAAAATTATTGATTTCATTATTAAAATCAATTACATCTTAGAGGATTAATAAGTTGTCAGTTCACTTGGATAAATTTTCTAACTGAATAGTAGATTCAGTTCTTTAAGCTCTCTGATAACCTATAGCCTAAATCTATACAACGACTTGAATACGAGAGAAAAAGGCATGAAATATGGAAGAAACGCTTTACTTCAAATTTCGTTTATGTACAGAAAATCTGGAGTATTTTAGATGAACTTAAGCTTCCGGAAATTTCTGGAACGCTACTAAACCTAGTAGTAGAATAAGTAATCATTCAAATAGAAATGTAACATGTGACTTTTCAATTTCTAAATGTTTCTGGCAAAACTTCTATTTAATGTTGATTGGATAAGATGTTTTCCAGCGTTTTTAGAGCCTTATTTTTTTTGAAGAGTTTTCTAGATCATCCCAATAACTTATACTCATTTCTATCAGTTCCTCATAAAACATGAAGCTTTTCTAATTCAAAATAAACTTACCAGTAGTTTGAAAGCATTGAAAGAATAATGAACTGAATATCTTGACTTTCAGGTAGATAGTAAACAATAAGACAGTAATGAATTAAGTATATTTCTAGTAATTGCATTTCAAAGGGAATACTTTTTTTAAAATCTTATTATAACATATGTGTGTAACTGAGTAAAATAACGAAAAGCTTATTAATTTTAACAGGTGTTTCCTGGGATTCTAGTGCGAAATTGTGACTAGTGAATTCTCTCAAAGTAAAACCATTTACCTGCTGTCACTATGTTAACACTGGTCCTGGCAACCTTAACTAATTTGAACAATATCTAACATCAACAGTATATCACTGTGTCACATGACACATATATTTTTGTAGACCTGATTGATATATTTTGGTAATTATTGCTTTGTTGTTCCGTGCTGTCTGTTTTCGTTTTAATTTCTCTAGTTGTAGATAGTTATCATTAATTCGATCTGGTACAGGAAACGACCTTAATTCCTCCGTTCATAAATCAATAGGCTGTCGATTTAAGAAAAATTAAAAGTTCCCAGCTGATGCACTGTGTTGTTGATGTAATACATGTACTACCTAAACAATTACTGAACTAGTATACTTAAAACTATCTTATATCACATGTTTGTTTTGTACATCTAATGTTACTATTTATATCAAAGTGATCATGCCTGTAAACTGGTGTGAATTCTGTAATTATTGTTTCCAGAATGTATATATATTAATAATAATCAACAATGGTACTGGAAGACATTGTGAAGTATTCGATGTTACGAATGAAAATTATGGCATACTTATTCAATGGTTTAAAGTTTAAAAACTCACCACGAGATTTGAATATCCTGTCTCCGATCTTATGGAAAAACATTTCTGAAGTGTTCATCATAATAGAGTTCTCTTTTTTTTTTCTTTTTTAACTAATTGTCTGACTACAGTCACTCTGAAACATGATACACATAATTTACATTATACAATTGTCTACTTATGAATATTAATATATTCATCCAACTCTAAGACACAAATCAGTCATTTTTTGTTTGGTAAATAGGTCGGTATATACACTGACATATATTGTTAGACAAGTAAACAAATAATCTTTAAAACGGAACAACATTCATCCCTCTATATCTCCCCCACGTCTAATTCAACATGATGAATAAAGAAAAACAAACGCCAGAAGAAGAAAAAATTGAATTTTCACTTCCTAATCATAATCATATTTTTATGTACGACAGATTTTGTCAAACCAATCACCAAACAAAAAAAAACTAAAACTAAGACTACCGTTTTACATTGTTGCTTTTACTCAATTATTGGACATGTATTTGTCTACAATTTATGACCACGTGTGTTTGTATATATATAGGTCGTTTTGTAGCACGTTATATTAGCGTTCACTCGGAAACAGGAACGATTTGAAACAACAACACAACAGTCAGGATCGGTAAATGCCTCTAAACTAAGAATACGGCACAACATATATATTAAAAATAGAAAGACACGGTTCGAGTACAAAAAAAGGGGAACTGCAAGTTAAGCTTACGTAGGGCTTGTTCCTCTTCTTCCAGTACGTTTACTTTTTACTGTCCTACAATAAAAAAAAAACAAACTCACCTTAGTAACGTCACATGTAATGAGTTTTTATACTGTTACAAGTTCATTAGTTAAATATTGGGCAATTCAAATCATTAAAACAATGACCAATCAAAACATAGTAAGCATTTTAAAATAGGATTAGGAAAATTCATTTAGGTTCACAACAACTGATAATCATCAGTGCTTTTCTAACTAGTTAACTTACATTATTCAGTGATGCAACACGAAATGATTTCAATTAAACCAGCAAGATGTTTGTTTTAATCATTAGAAAATAAATTATGGAATCATTCATATAATTGAAATAATAACAATAATAACAAAAACAATAACGCGATTCAAATAAAATCAGGTATCAATGAACAATGTCAACAAACTTTCAACTTACTTACTTTTACTTACTTACGCTTGTTACTCCTAATGGATCATAGGCCACCGATCAGCATTCTCCAACCCACTCTATCCCGCATCTTCTTTTCCAGTTCTATTCAATTTTTGTTCATTTTTCTCATGTCTATCTCCATTTCCCAGCGTAATGTGTTCTTTGATCTTCCTCTTTTCCTTTGGCCTTGAGAATTCCATGTGAGGGCTTGTCTTGTGACGCAGTTGGGTGTTTTCCTCAATGTGTGCCCTATCCACTTCCAGCGCTTCTTTCTGATTTCTTCCTCCACTGGGATCTGGTTTGTTCTCTCCCACAGTAGGTTGTTGCTGATAGTGTCCGGCCAACGGATCCGAAGTATTTTGCGTAGACAACTGTTAATAAACACCTGTATTTTCTGGATGATGGCTTTCGTAGTTCTCCAGGTTTCCGCCCAATACAATAAAGCTGTTTTGACATTTGTATTGAAAATTCTGACCTTGGTCTTGGTTGACAGTTGCTTTGAGTTCCAGATGTTCTTCAGTTGTAAATATGCTGCTCTTGCTTTGTTGATCCCCGCCTTCACATCTTTATCAGATCCACCATGTTCATCAATAATGCCGCCCAGATATGTAAAGGTTTTTATGTCTTCCAAATCTTCTCCGTCAGTTGTCATTGGATTGGTGCATGCTGTGTTGTATCAGAGAATCTTGCCTTTCCCTTTGTGTATGCTGAGCCCTACTGCTTCTGAAGCTGCTGCTACACTGGTCGTCTTCTCCTGCATTTGTTGTTGCGTGTGCGGTAGGAGGACCAGATCATCTGCGAAGTTTAGATCGTCCAACTGCATCCTAGATATCCATTATATCCCGTGTTTCCCTTCAGATGTTGACGTCTTCATGATCCAGTCGATCACCAGGAGAAAGAGAAAGGGTGAGAGTAAGCAACCTTGCCTAACACCAGTCTTCACTTCGAACGACTATGTCAACTGTCCTCCATGCAAGATTTTGCAGTGTAATCCATCATATGAACTCTGTATAATATTGAATATCTTCTCAGGCACGCCGTAGTGTCGAAGAAGTTTCCGTAGTGTTGTTCTGTTCACGCTATCAAATGCCTTTTCGTAGTCAATGAAATTGATGTAGAGTGATGAATTCCATTCAATTGATTGTTCCACAATGATCCGTAGAGTTGCGACTTGGTCTGTACACGATCTATCCTTACGGAATCCTGACTGTTGGTCACGAAGATGGGCGTCTACACAGTCCTTCATCCTGTTTAACAATACTCTGTTGAAGACTATTCCCGGTATTGAGAGGAGAGTGATGCCCCTGTAGTTATCACACTTGCTGAGATCGCCTTTCTTCGGTATTTTGATCAGGAGTCCTTCTTTCCAGTCTTTTGGTACTTGTTCATCATCCCAAATCTTATTGAAGAGAATGTGGAGTATCCTTGCAGTTACTATTACGTCTGCTTTCAATGCCTCTGCTGGAATGTTGTCTGGTCCTGCTGCTTTGTCACTCTTGATTTGTCTGATGGCCATGCTGATTTCTTCAATTGTTGGTGTGCCAACATTGATTGGGAGGTCCCTGGGTGCTGCTTCGATGTTGAGTGGGTTCAGTGGAGCTGTTCGATGCAAGAGTTCTTTGAAGTGTTCTACCCACCTGTTTTGCTGTTCTTCAATTTTAGTGATTACCTCGCCTTCCTTGCATTTCACTGGTCGTTCTGGTTTACGGTGATTCCCAGAGAGTTTCTTTGTTATGTCATACAGTCCTCTCATGTTTCCTTCTCTTGCAGCCTTTTCCGCCGCCATTGTTAAATATTCCACATATGTACGTTTGTCAGTTCTGATGCCTCTCTTCACTTGCTTGTTCACTTCTGTGTATTCAGCTTGTGCCTTGGCTTTTTCTGCTCTTGTTCGACTGGTATTTATTGCTTCCTTCTTGTTCCTCCGTTCTTGAATCTTATCCAGTGTACCAACAGTGATCCATTCCTTTCAACCTACCATGTCAAAAAAGTCTTGAAATGTTTTGTCAAAATTATGATTTTTATGTGAATCAAATGAAACCTGTTGTTGGTCCGATCAGTTGTAATATCAATGAAAGTGCTCGGAAAAGTCGACAATGTCATCATCATCATCATCATCATCATCATCATCATCATCATCATCATCATCATCATCATCATCATCATCATCATCATCATCATCATCATCATCATCATCATCATCATCATCATCATCATCATCATCATCATCATCATCATCATCATCATCATCATCATCATCATCATCATCATCATCATCATCATCATCATCATCATCATCATCATCATCATCATCATCATCATCATCATCATAATCATCATCATCATCATCATCATCATCATCATCATCATCATCATCATCATCATCATCATCATCATCATCATTATCAACATCACAAACATCAACACACACGACATAAACAAGTATGGCATTGGGAACAGTTGGACACCACAGTCAATTATGTCCCCACATTTTATTTGAACAACAAATATCATTCAGATAGTTATCTGCTTCGATCGCATCAACAGGAATATCCAGTACCACCGAATACACCACACAAATGCACTACAAAACCATCAAAATACCAATTCACCGAAAATAAATACAATTCATCTACTACGTTCACATTGCACAGGTCACAAGTATATCATCACATATCATCTCCAGTACCAGTCATCCAACCAGTTACAACTTCATTTCGTGTGTGCCGTACTCGAAGTACGAATTCACCAAACTGCACAATGTCATCTGGTAGAGCTTACAAGTATTTGCCTGCTGAACATATACGGAGTAAAAGTGAAGGGAAACACATTGACCACATACACAACTCACATCTCGACGGACACGCGAAATGCAGTGTTTGTGTTGATTCGACTTGTCGTTCTTCTCAACTTCCATACAAATTATCAAGTTACTCGTCTTCCAATATTCCATGTTCAAAGAGTGTGAATGGTGCTGGAGAATGGGAAAACATTCGATATTCTGAGAAACAAGTGTCTTCCAGTCCACCATCCACATCGAACAGATCTAGTTTGAAGCAAATGAAACTGACTGGTAAGTTGACACACAGTTTCCAATGTCCGTTTCCAATGTTGTTTGTTGACCGGATGCAACTTGGTTTCAGATCGGTCTCCTTACAGATTTGTAAGTTCCACAATGAATAATTAGTTCCATCCATATTGAGATAGCGAAACGACTGATGTTTATTCTCATGGAAAACATTGTGTAGAACCAGGTTAATTTTGTTTTCAAGTTTTCATAACATTGTAGAAATTTTGTGGTCTTACTTCCTGTGAAAAACTCACGTCACTCGTAGTTATTCAATGAATAGGTGTACATGATGCGTAAATGTAAGTGGTAGGGAGATAACTATACAATTGGTTTCTCACTCCAAACAGAACATTTATCCATACAATTTTCCATATTCACTTCTGATAATAATGAATAATGGTTTGTGTTACTCGAACTATGAACAAATTATGTTCGAACAAGACACTTTCTAGCTCAGATAATCCAAAGTACTCGAGTGATTATGTCTATTAGTGACCCATTCAAATCCTATAACAATTGTTATTCAGTTGTTAGTATGACAATCACTTAATACTAGAGATACTCCACCAATAGTTATCTAACTGATAGTGATGTTTCACAGTTGGCATTCTTTTATTCAAATTAAGACATATTTCTCTGAAATCAGTGGTGAATAGAATATGAGGAGTTACAACTTTCACGTGTTATAACTGCTTAATCAATCAATCAATCAATCGAAGGTGGACATTGAAGGTCATAAAATATTTTAACAGAAATTGACTAGTTAGCATTACAAATAGATTTTCACATATAAGTGTCATTCGACTAGAAAACGTTAACATTGAATGTATTCTAATCTAAAGAGACTAAGCTCTAATCAACTTCCACTTCGATAATCGTTCATCGAACAGAAATTCATCCATGTCAGTTTGTAATGTTTTGATGCCAAGTTCTCTTTTGATATTGAAGTGTTAGGATAATTACTGTGACATTTCCTCAGAAAGTGAATATTGATTTACATGATGACACGATAAAACATTGGTCCGACTCTCTCGCCTAACTACTTTGATCATTACTTATATGCAGTTCATTTAAACATATATCGGCTGAACAACAGAAGTGTATGAATTAACTCATTCATATGATGATTGTTGCATGGAATCTTGTCCTACTCAGTATCTAACTTCTAACCCACATCTCAAGTCATGTACAAAACAGTAAATTTTCTTGAGCACCTGATCTGTGTGAATAAACTGACTTATCCAATCACATTTGCAACACACACACACACACCATTCCCTTTTGTGATGCACAACCAATCTCTTCTCATCACTGATTAAGCTCACCACAGAATTCTGTAATCAATTATTGTGAATTAAAAGTCATCATAATGAAATTAGTTCATGTTTATATTACAGTCTGTAGTGATGGAAGACAAATGATTTACGATCAAATTGATAATTATTAAATGCGGGTACTGTAACCAATGCTAGTTGTTAAGTTTAATGCACAAACACTATAATATATTTGTAATCACCATGATCATGTTAAATTGTATAATTGGAGAGAAGATCAAAGTAAATGAGATCTCTGATGATTGAACACATATTAAAACACATAATGGAAAAATGTGATAAGATGAAGATGAGTCGATTGATTGTATGTGAAGTGAAGAAAAAATCACAATGTTATTTCGACTTCTCAATCATCTCCAAGATCTATTTGTTATGAGATGAATAATCAGTTACCTGATGTTATTAAATGTTATATCAAGAATATTGTTCAAACCACTAACCGATCTATGTTAAGCCTACACTGAAAGTACGAAAGCATGATTCAGTTCCTGACCTTAGTAAAATTTAACATAATTTCTCCATAATTTCTATACTGCCGAGAGCTTAATCACCAAATTACTGGGTTCTGTCTGTAAAAGTAGTTTACACTATTTCAGTTCTATGTCACAAGTAAAATAGAGAACGCAATGTTTTGAACTAACTGTCTGTCTTGAAATATGTTTTCATGTATGAAGGAAATTTAAAAGTAGTTTCAAAAACATCGGATCATACTTCAGTTAATATAATAATAACTTCTAATAAGGCTAGTTAAGTAAAAGATGAAAAGCAGAAAATATTAGACAATTGATTTATTCAAGTGTAGATCTCTTCAACCATGTACTTCCACGATCCAGCTGGATATTCGAAAATATGAAATTCAGATTTTACAATGAGCGTTTAACTACTCTACATTTCTATTTTCAGAATTTAACAAATATCATTCGATGCCATTTGTATGTAGTTGGCAAGCATTCGGCGTTTTTGAACTCCACTGATTACACTTTACTAGAACTCAGAGAGCTACATATACGAAATAGTCACTTATGTGCACAATATTATGATTGATTGGAAGTTATTCTTTGTTATGAATTAACATCGGTTAGAGTATTTATTAATGAAGATCAATGACAATTTAATGGATTTTCAATCCTGTTCTAAGACTCATTGCTAATGCATACAGTTGATAGTTAGAGTGAAGAATTAAATTTATAATTTTCATCACGAACTGACATCAACTAAAATGCCAAAACTCTATTTAGCCAAATGGATGACTGAATTTCGCACACAAATCCAAGACCTATGATGTTATATCTTATTAGTTCGTCCATAACTTTTAGTCTTGTCGAACCTTGTTACTGATGATAATGATGATAAATTCCACTGCTAGCCACTATTCATCTTTGCTTAAAAAGCTTATGACTTAAGGTTATATTGAGGCAGTCCGCACAGGATGCACCTATGCCAACATGAGACCGAATAATTGCAATCCTAAATAACAATGGGAAGATGCAAATAAAACAACACCAAATGAATTTCTATTGTAAATTCTGTTTGAAGAATTTGCGATAATCTATTCAAAAAATAGAGGTTAAACTATATGGCATATTTTAGTGGCCCCATATCTGACTATAGTTTCATCGTTTCTGATTGCTATTGAGATATGTATGTCGCCAATTCTCATATACAATTATTAACTTAGATCGCGTTAATGAATAACGAAACTAAATAAGTTAAATACGAGGCTGAATTTTTCCAATATATATTTGGTACACTCATTGATCTGGGCAGGCAATCAGAGGGACCAAGCGAAAAAAGAGAGTGAAGCGAAAACACACGAAGTGGAGAAGCCATGTAAGCCAACTTGATTTAGCCAAGCGTTAATCGATATTTATAGTCACACAAAAATAAGTTATGTGGGCATAACATAGTAACCTACACTACACTATATATATATATGCGTTTGTAAAAAATTACGCATTTTCTCTTCATCCCTATAATTCTACTGACTATCAGTTAGTTAAATCAGTCATAAACAACATAGAACCAGATACATAAATGAATCATTTCAAGTTATCACACAAATTTTGTATAGATAAGTGAAATAATCAAGAATCATACGAGAGAAATAGAAGTAGTAATGAAGAAGAGAGAGAAGGAAACTGAAAGCATTCAAGATAATAACAGGAATGAAGAAATAATGAGAGACAATTCAAAGAAAATATGCAATTGATGTATTTGATGTATGAGTTTCACAGTTCACTAAGTCAATGTGTGATTATATATTAAAAATAGATTGGTTATCCCTTCTAGAGTGTTCGTTCACTACAGCAACAGTATTAGCAATAGTGTAGATAATTACGTACACACAATTACAATGAATTATTTTAAAATGCCTTCAAATTCAAGATCTAAGGGAAGATAAATAATGAAATCATCTTGAAAATTGCTACAGCATTCCAGCTATAACACGTGTCTTCAAGCATCGATTTCAATAATCCTTCAGATCACAACCTGGTAATTTCCACTGATCTAAATGGCTCATTTCAATAGTTAGCTGTCAGTAGATATCGAATATCACTTTTTGTTACAAACTGATCGTATTATAATCAAACCTTTGGAAATTCTTCTAAAATGATAATAGCGTGATGTATGCTACATATGATGACAGATATAAGTAGTATGTAACATCAATCAGTAGTGGAATGCTTGGCAGCAGAGTATTGAAAAGATCGAATTGAAGAGAATAAAAAATGTAAACAGAGAGTAATTGTAATGACAACAGGAATAAAGGAACGATGAAGCTTGTAAGAGCAACTGATGGATGATGTGCAAATAAAAGTATTTAATACATGGTTTTTTATATTTTAAAAAGACACATTGTAATCCGCTTTTGAATAATTAATTGGCCTCCTCTACCTGAGTGTTCATTCACAACAATAGTACCACATTT